TGTACGGGCCCTGATCTTCTTCAGAATAGATACAAATGAGAGAGAAATGAGCCTCAAGAAGGTGAGTCTAGCAGGAGAGACGGATATAAACACGTAACGCTGACAGTGTGACCATGCGTGGAGTAAAAGGTGCTGTTCTGCACAAGGATGGAGACCTCTTCCAGTCGTTTGGGAAGTGAGTCTTTTCTAGAGGTTTTATTGGAAAGAAATCTCTTAAAAAATTGATGCGATGCTGTTTGCTGCCGTTACAGTTTCTTAAAAGGGACTTGAAGAAGGGCCACCACATGACAGTGTTTGCTGGCTGTCCCCAAAGACGCCCTCCTGACGTTATGGTGTTTATTGAACTGTCTCAGCCTCGCCCCAGCTTCAGAAAGTATCTCTGTTTCGCAGTTGTGAAAGGAAAGCAGACACTCTGCACAAGGTCACAGAGCTCGTAAACAAAGGAGCCGGAACGTGGGCCCGGGCAGCCTCTTCCAGAACCTGTAATCCAGACAGCCCTCCCGCTTCTCGGTCATGTAGCTGTGACAGACAGCTGAGTGTGGGCAGGTGCGACTTGTCCGGTGGCACACCACCGCTTCCCAGCCTGGTCATGTGGACGAGTCCTCCTGCTGGAAGCAGCTAGGACAGCCGTACACAACACCCGCCAGGTGCCTCATCTGCCAGCTACTTGATCTTGGACTCACACCTGCGAGAAATAACACCCACTTCATGGCAATCCATTCTGCAGCCTGAGCTGACCCAGGTGGACAGGACCAAGGGAAACACTTAACATGCATGTGACCGGTGCCACGCGACTGGCCACTGAGCCAGGCGTCTCACTCCAGCGTCCGCACCTTTACACCCTTCTGCTGTGACATACAACACACGGAAAGTTTCATTTAAAAAGGACTTGTTTAACCCAGGCCAGGGTCAAGAAAGGACACTTCTGTCTGCCCTGCAGCAGCGACTCCGCAGCCCACATCGGCCTCTGACTGCCGCCTCCCAACAGAGGGGCTGCTGCCTTTGGTTCTGTGGGAAGCATTTTCTGTACTGTTTTAACCTGTGTGTGAGACCTAAACGGTACAGTGTAGTGTTGCCTGTTTCAGAATTCTGTAGGTGGCCAATACTGTAGCTCTTCTTTTTCCATTGTCTTCTTTCGGTCCACACCCGAGAATGCCCGTCTTCCAACTTCTCTACACTGCGGAACTCGAACACAGCCGCGGTCTGCTTCTGCCCCGCCCGCCGGGAGGACTGCCCGAGTCCGGCGCTCTGGCCACCACAGGAACCCGGGTGGCACGGTGGCTGCCCCTGAGGGGCGCTCGCCAGGCTTCCGCTCCGTGCCCCCATGGGGAGAGCTCGTCAGCTGCCTCGTAGGGGCCCGTGCGTTCAGATCAGCAGCACCCCAACACCAGAGGGTGTGGAGGGGGAATGCTGAGCTGGTCTTCAGTTTGATGCCCTTTGTCATTGTAGATGCTCAAGCTAAAACATGTTTTGAGAAGCTTAAATTTAAAGTCCTGAGTCCTAGTATCAGCACACCCCTGCCGGTAGAGGTGAGTGTGCGTGGTCCGAAAACATCAGTTCCCCCAAGTTGCTTCAGGAAGCCAGGCCTGGAAGGGCCACGGCCGGCGTGGGCAGGGCTGTGGCGCCACCCTCTGCAGAATGACCCCGCCTTGCGCTGTCTCTGGAAGCGGAGTTGGTCAGACTCGGGACTGGCTCAGTCCGAAGGGCAGCGACGGGCCCCAGCTGTCCGCACAGGCATTCCCCACCAGCAGTGTCTGCTGAGGACGGGACCAGACAGGCATCCGCCGCCGGGCTGAGGTTGGCCGTGGAACATCCTCTTTCCGGGCCACAGAGCCCATAAATCACGTTCCTTTTCCTCGTGCCCTGAACCTGTGAAAACACTGCTGGTGTTTGGCCCAAATTTCATTTCTGTTCTGCAGCTGTGTCGGGACCCCCTGGCGGACTCATTAGCACACAGTGCTGGGGGCTAAAACACACAGTTTCTGATTCACGGGGTCTAGGATGGGGCCAGACAGTTCCCAGGCGATGCTGCTGCTGCTGGTCTGGAAGCACCCGGAGGAGCACTGGTCACCCCATCTTCAGGCCTGGAGTGGGGCTGTTCGTGGCAGCCCAGGACCCGCATTGTGTGGGGACAGTCTGCTCGGGCTGACGTGGGAAGTCCCCATGTACTTGGCACACCTGCGCACATTCGCTGGGTTGGTTCTGTGTCCTTAACTTTGAGGTTCCTGTCAGGAGCCCCTGAGTTAAAGTCCCCTTCTCTGCACCACTGGCTCACGGCTGTGGCGCACACGCTGCCCACGATGGGAAATGAAGGAGCTGAAGTTAAAAGCAAATTTCCCTGTCCAGGAAGTCATCTGTCGATCATTCGGCTTAATGAGAATTAGGTCTATTAGGTCTACCATAGACTCAGACTGACTCATCACATCAGTGCCGCATTAGCTGAGAATTCATTAAAGTATCTATAAAACTAGCACGGTGCCTGGCTTGTGCCAAACTTTAAAGTGGGAGTGCCCTCCATTTTCATCTAAGAAGGCAGATGTTCCTGGCACAGAGTGGATGTACTTAGGCCTGAAACGACAGGTAGCTTCACGGAGCACCGGGAGCCCTCCGGAGAGGGCTGAGCAGTCCTGGCTGCTGCGTCCTGTGGACGCAATGACTGGCTGGGACGTTCTCCGAATCGGTAACTATAGCGACAGCGATGATGCCGCTGGTGAGGGCCTTGCTCCTGTGCAGGGACCTGTCAGTGTGCTCTGTTCTCAGAACCACACGGCAACCCTCTGATGGCTGTGCTGAGGACAGCGAGGCCGGCTGGCCTCCGTCTGTGCAGCCCGGGAGAAGACTCACCATTTGAGAACTGTAATTGAGCAACTGCTCAGAATGCCGGTGCGTTAGAATATTATGTGGGTGGGACTGGGCCCCAGGGTCATCTGTGACATCAAGGTTCATGATGACTCATTTCTAAGAGTCTTGAATGGGGGAAATCATTTTCAAGATCTGTGTTCTCTTCCCCACTCCCTGCCGCCCCACCCCCACCTTCTAGTGGCCACGATTCTGAAATTGAGACATAGTCTGAGGCCTGAGCCAGAGATAAGCCTTCCTGGAGTTCCATCCCACCCGGTACCTCAAAGGTTTGTTTTTATTTGGTCTGTTTTGGGCAGAGGGCTACATGAGTGCAAACTGTGCATATAATGGTCTCTGACGCTTTTTATGCCAACAGTGGTGAGTGGTGGGAGTCTGGCAGCCCTCTCCAGAGCTGACTTTTCTGAGACACTGTGTCCTTGAGTTGTCATTCGCTTGTTTATGTGGTTATCTCTTGCTCTACAAAAATTGCACCCTTTTAATGAAATGTCTGTAAAGTCTGAGTAACGAACCGGGGCCAGGACGCTCAGTGCCGCTGCTGCGGGAGGGAGGCAAGGCGGGGGCCGCGCCGCGTCCTCAGCAGCATGAGCTCCGGCCGCTGGGAGAGGCGGGCCCTGGCCTGGAGGTTCAGGGCAGTGTGAGGCTCCGCATCTGCAGGGCTCTCTGTGGGACACAGCGATGGAGGGGCTGTGCCCTCCCTGGCGCGTGCGTCATGAAGACGTGTACGCAGAGCAGTTACTGGAACGCCCCGTGGTCCTGCCTGGAAGGCTGGCACCTGCGCCTCAGAGGCCGGGGGCGGGAGAGCTTTCTTGTCTGGGAGTGCCGAGGCTGCGTCCGTGAACCTGTGCGCTGAGCCTTGTAGGGATGGTTGACCAAGGTGGGGGGAGCCGGACTCAAAGAACATGAACAGGAGTGAAAATGGGGCGGCTGGCACATACTTTCGTCTCCTTGAGCGGCTCTCACTGTAGGCAGGGCCGGTGACACAGCCACGGCGGGCGGTTGGGTTTCATTGCGAGGCCAGCGGGCGAGGCCAGCATCCCTCCGCCTCTGTCCCCCCAACCCCGCCCCTCGCCCAGCTCCGGCTCCTCTCCAGCTTCTTCAGAAGCCTTTCCCGACCCCCCACACTCGTATTTAAATTAGCCTACCCTGCCCTGTATTCTTCTCTCCTTTCTCTTCATAGAACCACCACAGTTTGCAACTGTACATGTATCAACCTTTTTACTTCTATGTATCTGTCGTGCCCACTGGGTGGCTACTTCTGCGGTACGTGCAGAGAATGGTGCACACACGTGCACATCCCCGGCACAGCCTGTCTGCTGCGTCATTCATATTCAATGAACAGTTGTTCTTTATCGAACTAATCAATACTTTTTTCACTAAAGAATATTTTTAATTCAGTGTCTTCTCGGCATGTTTTTCAACAGATGAGATAAAAGACCAATTTTAATAAAAATATTTATGTCTTTCTTAAGTAAGGCAGTGGCAGAATCACAGACTTAAACATGTCTCCATAAAATTGTGCTGGAACCGTTGTCCAGCCGCGCTGGGATTTTATGAACCACGTTTAAAATGCAACTAGAATTTTCCTCTTAAAGTTTTTCTTTTTAAATAGCCGAGAATTAGAAGATCTTCATGGTTGAATGTCTGATAGTCACAGAAGTTGAAAGAAAAGCTTTTAGCTGCTGCCAATGTACAAACCCCCTTTTAAAATGCCCAGCTTATAAAAAATAGCTTGGGAAATGGAAAACACGTTATTCCAGCATCCAGGTTAAACCTGGTGTCGAACGTTCCGTAACGAGTCTCCTGAAACAGCTAAAACATTCAGCAGTGAAACTGGGGAGCAAAGTTTAACTCTTCTGCTGTTCAGAGCAGCAGAGCCGTGGACGCCTGGGGTCTTTCCGAGTCCCCGACGCCGTTCTGTTCCTCTCTGCACTCAGACCCTAGAACAGAGGCCTGGCTGCTGGGCTCTGAGGCCGTGTGGATCCGGTAAGTGGAAGATTCAGGCGGTCGTTCCCAGGGGAGCTGGGCCTGGTCACGCAGGCTCGCCAGGGCAAAGCGTTTCGGCTTCCAGGCCTGCTCGCCAGTGGCCGCGGAGTCCGGTGTGGGGCCCGGTCCTAACGTGTGTTCTGTTTCCTCCCCAGCCCAGTGACTTCTCCGTGTCTCTCAAAGCATCAGGGAAGAACAAGCATTTCAAGGTGCAGCTCGTGGACAGTGTGTACTGCATCGGGCAGCGGCGGTTCCCCACCATGGACGAGTTGGTGGAGCACTACAAAAAGGCCCCCATCTTCACCAGCGAGCACGGGGAGAAGCTCTACCTCGTCCGAGCGCTGCAGTGATGCCTCCCGCCGCCCTGCCCTCCAGGCCCCGTGCCACACTCGCTTCCCCAGAGCCCGCGGATGGCCCACGAAGACGTGGTCGGCTCGGCGCCTCTGCCGGGGCGCTCTGCCCAGTGGCCTGTCCCTGTTGGCTTCCTTTGCCTGGCTGGTCTCTCTGTCCAGGCTGTTTGTTTCCGTCTGCGCCCTCTTTGCCAGCCCAGGCCCTCACTCCAGGCCCCAGACCACTCGCTCCCGAACGGGAGGTGGGGGGCGAGTGTGTTCACTTTATTTCTTCTCAGTTGGAAACAGCTTCAGTCTGTTCAACCCGTTCACACTGTCAGCACGTCTCAGTGAGAAGACACTGGGTGCCGCTGGGATGCCCCGAAGCGGCCCTTGATGACGTGACCTGTGGTGCACTCCCAAGGTGGCCGCTCAGGAGAGTGCTGGGCCCTCGCCCCCAGGCAGCACAGGCAGAGGTCCCGTCCCAGCCGCGCGTCTGGTCCCTGCCCTCACCTGGCTCCCAGACTGTCCAGGGAGTGCACACGTGTGCTGGTAGCAGTACTGCAACCGCAGGTGACACAGCAGTGGGGAAGCTGCCCAGTGCCTTGGGGCTGTGCTTGCAATAAGAGGACATCCTTGAAGGTCAGTCTGCAGGAGGACGGTGACTCGGAAAGAGGTGTTCTGGTGATTTACCCCCAGATGTGCCATCCACATAGTGCTTTTCCCTCTTGCCCTTTGGCTTTAAATTCACAATTATGTATTTAATTCTCAAAGTAATATGTATCTGTAGCCATTTGTTGACACTAATACAGATGATTAAGGAAAACAGCTGATCTTTTGGGGAAGGGGAGCTACCAACATGTTACACACACACACACACACACACCCCCACACTATATATATATATATATATGTATTTTATATATATATATATTATTTGCTTTACAGGGAAGTTTTTCAGGGTTCACAAAAATATGTAATTGGTAGTAAGAGACACACAGAATGTTTATGTTTTCTCTTTTCTTTACATTTGAACTTCTTTATAGTTTAAATAGACTATCTTGAGATGGCACATTCCTACAGTCGAAGAAGGGGTCTTGAGACCTCCTGAACTTGCATACTCAGTTTTTGGATATTGTAATAAAAAAGTGTTATGCTGAGCTGGTGCGTGTGTTTGCCGGAGAACAGCGCCTGCAGCGGCGCTCAGCCCGGCGGGGCAGGCCGAGAGGAGGTCCGCAGTCATCGTTGCGTTTCCTTTTCTACCACTGCATTTTTGTATATTGAAGTAATAAATTTTAATTAGTGAAACTCCAAGAGAAACCAGAATCTCAAGTGTGGTCTCAACTTTGCTAGAAATCGGTTCAGCAAACTGTTGTCAGCCAGACCCTCCCGCCGCTGCCCCCCCCCCCTCCATGCGTCTTCCCCCCTCCCCCCTCCCCCTCTCCCCTCCCGAGCAGGAAGCACCGGCTGAAGGCAGCAGCCTCGGGCCCCAGGCGCAGTGCAGGCCGTGTGCGCCTCGTGGGCCAATGAGAGCGGATGAAATGAACACGCCCTCTGGGGGATCCTGTTATTCCTCGTCACACCCGGGAGGCGGGTGCTTCTGTCCTCCCCATGATACAGGTGGCGAAAATGAGGCACGAAGTAAATGCAGGAGGGCACATGGCTGCTACATGGTAGGGTAGGGTAGGGTTGCAAACTCAGAGATGTCCACACCCTTCCAACCCCAGCCTAGGGGGTGTCCAGGAGAAATAAGGTGTTGCCCGAGCTCTGTCATTTCTGAGTTATTTATGTATTTTCGTTGCCTTAGACATACTAGAAATTTGATGATAAATTCGAAGTTTGGTATCTGGTAGCTTTGGTTGGGGCCACCCAGTTATATGAGAATAGACATACAGGTGAATGTCTAGATCAGGACCTTAGACGATACATCGGTGCTACACCTTCTCCATGGAAGGGACAAACCCTCCTGACTCTCAAGTCTCACTCTTGTGTATTTCATTTTTATCTTATGCTAGATCAGACATTTTTCAGCCCCTGCTGCAAGTTTTTAAAACATGAATACCTGACTCTTTAGTCAGGGGTACTGATGTCTTTTCCCTTAGATTGTCAAATAAAAAAATGACATCAGCCAACCCAACAGCCACTCCATGTGAATGCCTTTCTTGAACCATAAATATATAGGTCATAGAATAGAGTTGTATCTTACTGGTCACATCACATAACAAGTTTGCTTCTGATTGGTTAATGGTACCAGAAATCCTCATATACAAGTGTAGGCACCTGATTTTTTAAAGGGTCGCTTTGGAGCAAAAAGGGTAGGTAATTACTATTATTTTTTTCTTTGTGAAATAATCAAAATGATACCTTTTTTTTTTGTCAGATTGGCAAAACTAACATATTGTTTGGTGTGCCACAGAATTTTAGTCGTTAGTGTTTGTGTGCCTGAGGTGAAAGGGGTTGAAGGTCGCTGCCCTGGACGGCGACCCGGGGACACCAGGCGGTCTTACGCGGCAGTGCTGGAAGACACCAACGACACCATACAGATGCGTGTTTTGAATTCAGGAACTTGAAGGCTTGTAACTGTAATTATTTTCAGTCGTGTCCCAAACTGCCGTGAGAGCCCTCCAGCTGCCTAGGGTAGAGAATGACTCTTTGTGCAGCATCCAGCACCCGGGGACGTCCTGGGACCAGTGGGGGGAGGATGACAGTCCCAGGACGAAGCTGTTGGTGGGGTGGAGGCGGGGGAAGGCACAGGTCCTGTGTGGTTTGGCGTTTGCCTGCCTGTGCTCTGCCCAGCTGGCTAATGCCATCACCTTCCTGCATGTCCAGAGATTTCCTTGACAGATCTTTTGCTGTCCCCTTGCCTCTGTGCACAGACAGCAAAGGATATTACAGGTCAGTCCACAGCCCCCTAATTACAGTGCAGAAGTGCCAGGCCCTTCACACAGGGCTTACGCCCAACGCCGTTAAATCATGTTTCTAGAGAGCTAGAAACTGTCCATCTTGATCTTGTGTCCCAAACTGTATCACAAACTAACATCTTAAATTAGAACCTTTGTATCCAGTGAAACACATTTCCAAAGATGCGCTCTTGGTAATAGTACAGATCTGCCTTTGGTTTCTGTGTGCTGACTGGCTTATAATATAGTTTCCTACTGTTTCTGCTGCCCTGTGCCAGAATGCCAACATCATTTAAGACCAAAGTTCAGAACTGAGAGGGTAGAAAAGCTTGAAAGAATTCTTTTAAATTATTACATTTCAGTAAACATGAGTCGAGTTTTGGCCATCTGTCATGAGAACCCAGCGCTGTTGATCTGCTGTTAGTGTGAGTAATGCAGTCTTCCATCTCAGCGCCGAGCCTGGTGCCAGCTGCTGCCCCGGGAGCAGCACCCCTCACCCACCATGGCAGCTCCGCGAAGCCAGGCAGGGTGGGGGTGCCGGGTGGTCATCACCCTGGGACTCAGGCAATGTTTCAGCTTCTCTGGAGGTTTGCTCACAAGTCACTGGGGCTCCTCTGCACCTACGTGGTTCCCGGGACTGAGGGTCCGCAGGTGGAGCACCGTGGGCTTTGTGTCCGTGCCAGTCCGGCCTCCTGTGCGGCACGGAGCCTGCTTGACCTCTTCCCCCTGCGTTGGAGCCCAGGGATGCCCCGTCCTCCACGGGCTTCCCGGGCGCCACAGCTGGGATTCCGGCAGGCCGCAGTGTGGCATGACCCGCAGTGTGGCATGACCCCGCAGTCAGCACTGAACCACGCTGCTTTTTAGAAATTAGATGAAGTATTTAAAGAGGTGTTGCTGCAAGAAATTCATTCTAAATATGTGTCCCATCTTCCATGAGAAGCCCAGACCCGGAGTCACCCTGAGCCTTCAAAGCGCTCACCCTACATTCTTACCTCGGGTAGCTGAGGGGTTCACCGTGCACCCCTAACAGTGACCTCTCCTAAAGCAGGAACCTGTGAGGAGGGCCGGGGTTGGAGACCTGTATGTTTCGCGTGCGCAGCCCTTGCCTCTCACCGAGTTGGCCCACGGTGGCCTGTAAGTATCGTGTGAACGCTGAATAAGGCGGCTGGCGTCCAGAAAGCCTCTGCCCCTGTCTTAAGGCCCAGGATCGGGGTGCCAGCTCAGACTGGTTCGGCAAGAACCCTGTCCCATGCAGACGGCCGACATGGTGGGGAGGGCCAGCTAGCTCCCTGGCCTTTTCTAAGGGGACCGGTCTCAGTGGTGAGGGCGCCACCGATTTCCTCCCGAAGGCCCCACCTACCGAACCATCACGTTGGTGATTAGGTTTCCACACATGAATTTGGGGGCACATTCAGTTCCTAAGATGCTCTTCTCAACGGCGGTCTCTCGGCGGAGGGAGCGGCCCTTGCTGCCTGGACGCGCAGTCGGACCCAGCGGGGTCCAGCTCCAGCCGAGAGCAAACGCTCCTCCGCGGGTCTCAGCCGCTCCAGTCCCAACGTGGGGGCGCCAGGGGTGCAAACGCTCCTCTGCGGGTCTCAGCCGCTCCAGTCCCAACGTGGGGGCGCCAGGGGCAGACCCCTGCACTGTCACCACGCTCCCTGGAGATCCTGGCGCGCTGCTGGGGCCTGCACTGGGGTGCTGTGCAGTGTCCTTGGAACGTGAGGACACCGCCCGCGCACACTGCCCACCCTGCACCGCCCGCGCCCACCGCTGACCCGCACCGCCCGTGCACACTGCCCGCCCCGCACCGCCTGCGCCCACCGCCGGCCCGCACCTCCCATGCACACTGCTCACTCAGCACCGCCCGCGCCCACCCTACAGCCCTTTCTGTGGCTCCTACAGAGAGTGTCTGATCTTGAATGCCTAAGGTGGTTCTTTTTTTTAAATAGCCATTTGCCTTCACCTCTATTTGGATTTCTCATATCGTAGCTACCAGCCCATACACGCTAACTGGAAAGACTCATCATGTTCCATCTCTGGAGGGTCCTGTTACTGGACAGTAAGTTGTTACCGAAGATGGAGCCCAACAGCTAATATAAAATTGAACTTGGACAGCTCATTTATTTATTTATTTATTTATTTATTTATTCCTCACCAGAGGACATTTTTTTTTCGATATTCTGTTCAGATAGAGTGGGAGGGAGAGAGAGAGAGAGAAACATCGACGTGAAAGCGACACATCGAGTGGTTGCCACCCACACGACCCAACCAGGGCCGGGGACAAACTGCAACCAAGGTACATGCCCTTAGCGGTAACCGAACCCAGGTCTCTCCGGACCGCAGGCCGACGCTCTAACCGCTGAGCCAAACCGGCCAGGGCTGGACAGCTCTTTTAAATGCGTGGCTTCCTACCCAGGGGGTGGGCATCTGGCCATCCGGCCGTCTCCTCAGCTTGGGGAGCAGGTTGTGCAGCCAGAGCTGGGAACCAGAGAACCAGAGCCTTCCACTCGAGCTCCCACTGATGGGTGAGGGCAAGCACAGGTGGAGAGGCAGTGGTCCCACTTCATGGTCATGGAGCCCGTCGACCTTGGGGGTCTGTCCCTTGCCAGCCTGTGACCCCACCCAGTTCTGAAACGCAGTGGCCTCAGACCTGGTGGGAACTGCACTCGGCACAGCTGTTTAAGGATGTTGCAGTGGTCAGTCCTTGTCATCCGTGCAGATAAGGTGAACTGCTCTGCACACTAATGCAAAACGCTTGGAACCTTTTTACAGCTCTTAAATGATCTTAATGAAAAGGGGAAAATAGATTACTATGCTAAATTATTACCTAAATAATGCCAGTAATCCGAGTCTGCAGACTACATGGGCTTATGGAGCCACAGACACTGTATTCAAATGATTTCAACCTAGAACTCTGTCGAGTCACAGGTGGAATTCAGGTGCTGACAGTATTCATTTCTGTAAGAACAAAGGGTTCCTTCCCTTCCAGGGCCATGAAGAGTAGAGAACAATAAAATAAGGCATGACCTGGAAATAATGGAACCAACTAAAATATATCCCGACTAGCATGTAGACATCGAAATAGCATCCAGATCACACCAGTGTTTCACAGTGGTTGTTGCATTAGGTGCTGGAGGGTTAGGGACCTCTCTTTGCTGCAGGTGTTTGAGTTCTTCACTGAGAGTCTACCCACACTGTAGGGGACACAAAACTATCTGGAAATCACTTCGAAGAATTGGAGACATTTTTATTTTCTTCACACTTACTATATTTGCCAAATTTTCTACAGTGGAAATGGATTATCTGAATGAAGAATACATGAAAAAAAAGTCTATGTATTATAAGTTGTGTGGAGCAAAACCGAGTGAATAGAGCCAGTGTTCAACTGGTTGTACTGGTTGTTGTGAAATGTTTAGGAG